AAACCGGAGAGAGGAGTGTCTCTACTTTACCACCTTCGCATGGCCACGATGACAACAACACTATCCCTACATATATAACTATCGCTAATTTTTGGCCTGTGACATCCAGACGATCAGGGCCCTGCGATTTTACACTCCGCGACAGTCCCGATCGTCTGCTGATCGTTTGCTCTTAGAAGTTGAACCGTCGCGGCGGCTCCGCGCTAGGGCCTGTACTGGGCCCATGCGCCAGCGCCGGTACCAAAGCGTGTTACCGGCCCTACCGCACGCGGTACCGGGGTTGCGCCGCTACTGGTCCAGCCCCGCTACAACGTATAGAAACTACTTTGGGCAGTGCACGTGCCCGAGGGCAGGTATACTGGACGCTCGACGCCTGTTCGACAAAGCTACTCGACCGAGCTACGCTACTCTACTCTAGGATCGACGCCTGTTTTCGACACTCAAGCTACTGGACTGACTTCTACGCTGCTATGCACGACTACGACTTCGCTCTACGTTGGCCACTCGCACCCGCACACGCACACACGCACGTGCACGCACGCACGCACGCACGCACACACGCACGGACGCACACACACTGACAGAATCACACACGCACACGCAAAAGTGGTGAGTCCGTACGGTTCATCTTGGACAGACTGTCGAGGTTCAACCTCCTGATGCGTCGGTGGAAGTCTGACGAAACAGTCTGGCTGATTCATGTTGTGCGTTCTGTATAGAGAACATAACAACACACACATGCGCAGACTCACACAAGAGTGCGTAATGTCCGCGCGCGCGCGTGTGTGTGTGTGTGTGTGTGTGTGTGTGTGTGTGAGAGAGAGAGAGAGAGAGAGAACCTACGACCTGCTGTCAAGTGTATTATCAGCACCAATCAGTTTCATATCTGATCTGCGGTCCATCGCGACCCAAAAAGACAGAAACGGAAAACAACCACCATCAAGGGTGCGCGAGACCATCGGAAAAAAAAAAGGAAAACGTCGTGCCCGTGGGAGAGAGAGAGAGAGAGAGAGAGAGAGAGAGAGAGAGAGAGAGAGAGAGAGAGAGAGAGACCAACCAACCTAACGAACTGTCCGCCTCCCCCCCCTCACCCCCACATGACAAAGTGTCGTATCTGTTTCGGTCAGTTTCATATCCGATCCTACCCCCCCATACGATCAAGCGTTGTAACTGCTCTGTTCAGTTTCATATCTGATCCGTGGTCCATCGAGACCTTTTTCTTTAATAAAAGAAAAAAAAGCACGCGCGCGAGCGAACGGGCAAGAGGGAGGGAGGGAGAGAGGGAGAGAGGGAGGGAGAGAGAGAGGGGGAGAGAGAGAGAGAGAACAAACGAGCAAGAAGGAGGGAGGGAGGGAGAGGGAGAGAGAGAGAGAGACAGAGAGAGAGAGAGAGAACGTAACCTAACTAACTATGCGCCTCCCCTCCCCCCCATGCGGTCAAGCATAGTATCTACTCCGGTCAGTTTCAATCGAAGGGAGAGAGAGAGAGAGGGAGAGAGAATCCAACTAGGCACCTCCCCCCCCCAACGATCAATTGCAGTATCTTCTTCGATCAGTTTCATATTCGATCCTCCCTCCCCGCACGATCGAGCGTATTATCTGCTCCGTTCGGTTTCATATCTGATCCGCGGTCCATCGAGACCTTTCTATTGTACAAAAGAAAAAAGAAGCACGCGAGGTCGCGCGCGTACACGATGGAGAGAGAGAGAGAACCCAATCTAACCCAACTATTCACCCCCTTCCTTTCC